ATATATATATATATATATATATATATATATATATATAATGTTTCTTGATGAAATTCCAAAAAATTAAAGAAAAATTAGATACAAGAAAAAAAATTAAAAGTTTATATTTGCCGACATATTATAATTTACAAAAAAAGAAAGGAAGAGAGGGTTAAAAATGGGCAATTAAATCCCATAAAATTGTTTGCCAATTCACAGAGAACAAACGACAGATGGTCACATCAATCTCATGGAATTTGTGGATCTCAAAGTTGGACGGAATGCTATTCCCTTCTTTTGACCACCATACGCAAGTGTGTTCGTCTACTGTCTTATAGGAGCCGTTAGGGTCTAACACGATTCGAATCCGAACCTATTGCCATCCCAATTAGCATCCGAACCCGTCATTGTTCCAACAAGAATCGATGTATGCGTGCCGTAGTCATACATATAATCTTTGCTAGGCTTTGGATTTTATTCTCCACGAGGAGAAATGAGACGTGTTTGACGGCAATCCTCGCACGACTAACACGTGCCACTCGAGGACAAGTCACGTGTTGAATTTAGATGGCCAATTTCGAATTTAGACGCCTTATATTATTCTTATTTTTAATCAATCGATGACTTTTTTATATATGTTTTTACTAGAACAAACTAAATGAATATTTACAGGCTTTAAGTGTTTACGAATATATATTAGCTTGATCGTCGAAGGAGTTTTACCATATAATTTCGATGTGTATATATATATAATTTTTTTTATTATTTTTTTAAAAAATATTTAGTTCTTGTGTGTAATTTTATAATTTTAAAATATTTTTTCAAATTTCTTAAAAAAATATCATGCACTATATTTGACCTTCTAATTATGTTATAAGAACGCGATAAAAATTTGACCGTTAGAAAACTTTTACTAATATACGATGCATTATTTTTTACCAATATATAAAAATAGTACATCATGTAGTATTTTTTTATAACACCTTTGAATTAGATTTAGATGGACATATTTCAGTATTTTTTTATTTTTTATTTATTTTTTTTAAAGATTCTCATGTGCATATTTATAATTTTCAAATACTTTTCAAATTTCCTCAAAAATATCATCTACTCATGCAAATTTTTTTTTTTTATATTTGACCTTCTAGTTAGGTCCTAAACACTTGATAAAAAAATTAGTGTTATTTTTAATAAAAAATCTAAAAAAAGTGCATTGCATAACTGGACATTTCAAAATACCCTGAAAGTTTTTTAATACCTTTGATTTTGATCTAAATGGAAGTGTTTTTTTATTTTAAAAATTATTTTTGTTATGAATTTTAAAATTATATTTTAATTTTTTTTCAAAATTATTGCATTCATACAATGTTTTTTGACATTTGACCTTCTAGTTAGGTCCTAAGCACTTGGTAAAATTTTGGTCATCAGAATTTTTTTTACTAATATGCAATATATTATTTTTTACAAAAAAATAATAAACAATGACAAAGACATATATAATATTTGTTATAACAATCTCATTGTTTTTTTTTGGCTTACATGAAAGTATAGCATGAAAACCCTTGATACATGTAATATTTTTTTTGATAAGCTCAAGAACTTAATAATAAACATTAAACAAGAAAATATACTTTAAAATATCACACTATTCATGAAAATCCTATATATATATATTATAAGGTCTAAATAATTATTAAATGTCGATGAGTAGCATGATTTAAATATCACAATATTCTTAATTATTTCGAATTATATTTGTTTCCTTTGTAAAAAATAATATTCTTAATTATATATTTTAGAATATGTGATATATCTCCGAAACGTAACTCATAAATACCACCAACCTTTATACGTCCGTCACTCATGTCATGCCACGTTAGCCGGCTGGCCGAAACAAGCAACAAGCGTCAACCATCATCGTCCCCTCTTGCCACGTACCCATGGTGCGGGACCCACTCGAACCGTAACCACGTGTCTGGTAGCAGGGAATCACGGAGAATCATGGATCCGTGTGAGAGGGTCCGATCAGCCGTGAAATATCTCCCAGGGCGACGTGGCCAGTTGTCAGGCTCCTCTCGCAAGTGGGTCCCGCGGTGATTAGTAGCCTCGTCGAGCCGTGATTGGTGGGAGGCTTAATTAGTTGGAATATTAAACTGCCTTATTTTTCCTCTCTCTCTCTCCCGCTTCTATTTTTGGAGTTTCCAAAATTTAAAACCTTCTCCTTTTTACCGATCTCGTTCTCGCATTCATCGCTACATACATGTGATGTCGATGCAGCAACAGCAAAGACGATAGCTTTCGAGGTGTCACTGAGAGAGAGAGAGAGAGAGAGAGAGAGAGAGGGGAAGTTAGAGAGGGCGAAAAGACATCGTCGGTCGGCGAAGGCCTCTTCCCTTCGCCAGTCGCCTCAGGAAATCCTGATCGACTAGCGAATTCCTTCCTTCCCTAGCCTCGCTGTTCTAGTACAATGGCGGTCGCGCCTCAGGACGCCATCAAACAGCTCTCCGCTCTGATGGACGAAGGTCACACATACACACCCTCTCTCTCTCTCTCTCTCTACCGTTAAATTTTACGTCCATTGGTTT